ATTTTACTACGTTCCAGTACAGTTCTGTGCAGAAAAAAATGCAGCACTTTCTACTTTTTTTCTGCAACCGGAACACACTGTAACTGCAAGCACTGATGTGAACTATGACATTGACAACCATATAATCTACTTTCTGTGCATTTTGGATGTAAAAAAAAAAAAAAAAAAACAGCTGAAAACGCATGTAGTATGAACTGGCCCTAAAAGTGAGCTCCCTTCAAGCATTTAGAACGGAGCTCTAAACCTTTACAATTCTAAAAGCACTGAGCTGACTATGCAGAATTAGCAGTGGAAATTTCCCCTATTCACTTGTATGCAGGCAAAGCAGACTGAAGGACGAACGGCTGGTGATTTTCTTTCTACTGTACATCAATGATGACATTTATGAGCGTCTCTCAAAAAGCCTGGTTCTGTTTTTCTTTAGGGCTGATCTCCAGGCCAACGGATAAATATGCAGTTGAAATACACAGATGAGAAATGTTTTACCTGCCATAGTTCCATCCAGTCCTGCGATTTACACTGCTCTGTATGGTTAGTGACCAGATTTCTCTTTACTGCTGATAAGCAATATGGGATCAATTAATGTGCCCCCAATCCATGAAAAGGAAATCCCGAGGGGAGCAAAGTGCTATCCCTTCCATTTTGGAAATGCAATGTGCTGCGTCAGGGCTGCCCATTTAAAAATAAACAAGCTGGCCACACACATCAAAGGCTCGGAAAACCAACCTGCACCTTTTGTAGCAGTGCGTTACAATGTACGTTAGGGAGTTACTACGTTGTGCATATCCAGTGCCATGCATTGAGGTAATGCACACTAGAATGCAAGTATTCCCATAATGCAGCAACAGGACGCTCTATAGGGGGAATCCCAGGGGGCCAATAGACAGATGCATGTACATACTTTGCTCCGTGCCCAGAAACCTTCATTCCTTCGCCCCCTGGATACCCCCCAGCTAAGATCCTCCAAATGCCGTAAAGGGTAATATGAGGGGCTCCACCTGTCATAGGTACTCATCAAAACTGCCAACTATGCCCGCCCTTCCGGCCTCAGTGCTCCATTCATAGAAGCTCTACCGTCGGTTTCCACAAAGAAAGTGCTCTATGAATGGAGGAGGGATAGATGAACGAAAGGCTTGCCTCCTCTTTTCTAGAGCAATTTCACTGCAAGAACCAATAATACAGCTTCTATGAATGGAGCAGGAGGGCCTAGTTGGCACTTTTGATTAGTACCTGTGACAGGTGAGCTGCTCTTATTAACCCCTGCAGCACTGGATGATCACAGCTGCGGGGGTATGAAGATTTCAGCCCTGGTTCACACTGATGCGGTCTATGAATGGAGGAGGGGTGGATGATTGAAAGGCTTGCCTCCTCCTTTCTAGAGCAATTTCACTGCAAGAACCAATAATATGGCTTCTATGAATGGAGCAGGAGGGCCTAGTTGGCACTTTTGATGAGTACCTGTGACAGGTGAGCTGCTCTTATTAACCCCTGCAGCACCGGACAATCATAGCTGCGGGGGTATGAAGATTTCAGCCCTGGTTCACACTAATGAAGTCCGAAATTTGCAGAGTTTTCAGTGCAAATTCCACACCGCATCAGAATCGCACCCCGCTCATGCAAACTGCTGCGGGTGTGTATGTTAAGTTAACAACACCCCAAAAGCGATCCGCAAAACGTGGTGCGATGTGCAGAATCGGATCTCATACGTGTGAATACCCATGCGATCCAATTCTAGTGCGGACCAAAAAAAGGGTCCTGCACGTTTTTGATGCAGGTGTGGTGCGATTAGAGCCATACAAAATGTATGGGTCTGATCGCATCGCACACAAATCGCATGTGATTTGCAAAGGAATCCAGTGCGGTTCCTGTGTGAATCACATGCGATTTACTGCATCACATATATGTGAACCCAGGCTCAAGGAACAGAGCAGCCATCAGCACACTGGACACTTGTCATTCATGTAAGTACCTCCCTGCTACTGATTTGAAAAAAAAAAAATCACAGCTTTTTACTAACCACAGCTTTATTTAACTTATTGTTTTTCATTTAATAAATGCATAACTGCATTAAACTGCGTTTTATTTTGGATTGGTTGAAAATTTTGGCTTTAACCGCTTGTCGCTCGGTCACAGTAGATTTATAGTGATCAAGCAGCAGCTGCAGGCTTAGCAATGAAAATAAACGTTGCAAGGTTGCTTCTGAGTCTGCAGCACCCATGCGCGTGCCCCCTGCTGACCCGCCCTGTGGCTGGACACAGTGTGATTATGTCAGCAGGTCCCAGCTAATGATCTAGGCTCCATTCACACTTGTGTGACTTCAAAATCATGTGATTTTCATTGCGACTTTGGATAAATGCAACCTTGGTGCGACTGTGCCTTTGACCGAGGATAAATGTTTCTGCTGTACAAACTCGCATACAAATTGCATGTACAACATTCAGGTGCAACTTTCATGCGACTTTGGAGGGTTTAGATTGAAGTCTATGGCCCACAAGTTGCATGAAGGTCGGAGCAAAGTAGCGCAGGAACTACTTTGAAGTCGCACAGATATGAATGGCACCCATTGGGAAACATTGGGGGGGACTTGCCATGCGACTTTGGACCCCAACGTCGCATGACAAATCGCAAAAGTGTGAATGGAGCCTTATAGCTGAGACCTGATCAGCTGTGTCCAATCACAGCACAGAGTCCTGTTTTACAAACACAGTGCTCTGCACACAGAGCAGTGATCTGGCTGTTTCTTTTCCCTGCAAAGCGGGGGGGGGGGGGGGGGAATCCAGATCTGTTAGTAAAGGCAGCACATATTACACATTAGGCACACAGTTAACCTTTTGATTGCCCTTAGATGTTAACCCCTTCCCAGCCAGTGTCATTAGTACAGTGACCTTGTACAGTATTAGCACTGAACACTGTAGTAGTGTCAATATTGATGTCAGGTCAGTGTCAGTCAGTTAGTGTTCCTCCCAGTGAGGGTCTGTTAGTCCCAGATTGCCCACCACACTATCACTGCATTGCCAGTATAGTGTCATAGCTGCTGCAAGACACTCTGGCAGTATTTTTTTTTCCCTGCCTCAATGCCCATGTGTGCATGGACACATAAGATAACCTGCAGCATTATTCAGGGGCAGAAAAAAAAAAGTGCTAACAGCAATGTTGAAAAAACGGGGCCTTATGCTTCAAACTACAGTTTCCTGTTGGGCTGCCATCCAAAGATGACACCCTGAAAATTATAAATTTTAGACCCGGGGTCGGGTGTGTGAAGTTTCTACGTATAGGGAGTCTCCTTTCCCCTACAGGGTCTCCCTGGAACCACTTTGGTGTGTACACTCCTGGCGGAGACTGAACCTTCACACGCTGCTTGGTGCCGTGTATGGCGGACGCATAGGCTTTGGTGCTGTGCTTAAGGGATGCAAGCGCAATATAGGCAGCACTTTGGTGCCGTGTTTGGCCGACACATGTGCATTACATGACAACGCACAAGGAATTATAGGACATGTATAGTCCTGAAGATTTAGATATCCGACATGCTCAGGGAGCGCTCCCCAGATGGAAGTTTAGGGAAATGCTGATGAGAAGGACACAGTTAAGAGAAAATCAGAACACTCAAAAATAAGACTTTGGGGCACAATAAAGGAAAACAACAATAAATGAGCTATTAGCTGGAAAGAGCAATGTTACACTGCGGACTTAATGCTTCAATATGAATGATTACATTTTGGGGTATATATATATATATATATATATATATATATATATATATATATATATATATATAAAGGTTTTGCTGTGCAGGCGCCTAACCATTTGCAAGGCAGCATGAATATTTGTTATATTGTTTGCGATAGAATTATCTCCTACCACTGTCAGCGCCATCTAGTAGCCATAATACAATCATTCTTTTTTTTTTTCTTCTTAACTATAGCACAGACAATGAGCTGTCATTTTCCCCAGAGCTAAAGGCAACCCCACCCCTTTATATTTCCTTTAGCCCTCCAAGAATAACAGCTCCTTCTCAATAGCTATAGTAAAGGGAAAAAAAAGCCGGTAATTGCATTTAAAAAAAAGGCATTGTTTTTAAATGCAATTGCGGTCTTTCTTTTCCTTCACTAGAGCTCATAGAAGGAGCGGTCATTCTTGGGGGGGCTAAAGGAAACAAAGGGGCAGGGTCACTTGGAAATGTCACTGGGTGACCCCGCCCCTTTGTTTCCTTTAGCCCTCCAAGAATGACAGCTCCTTCTCTGAACTATAGTAAAGGAATAAAAAAAAAAAAAAAAAAAAAAAAAAGCCGGTAATTGCATTTAAAAGACAGCATTGTTTTTAATTGCAATTGCCGGCTTTTTTTTCCTTCATTATAGCTCATAGAAGGAGCTGTCATTCTTGGGGGGCTAAAATAAATAAAGGGGCGGGGTCACCCAGTGACATTACCTAGTGACCCCGCCCCTTTGTTTCCTTTAGCTCAGGGGAAAGTGACAGTTCATTCTGTGAGCTACAGTGAAGTAAAAAAAGCTGGTAATCACATTTAAAAACCGGCACTGACATAGGCAGCCAGTCACTGTATATATTGATCCTCTCCTGCCTTTCTCCGCCGCTCCCCCCCCCATCTGCATTACACAGTCCCCTGTATCAGCACCTGTATAGGCTAAATTTTTCCTATCGACAAAATACCGGTAGGGATATTTTCGGCCGATCTGTTTCGGCAGCTGAAATTTTTTCACCTCATCCCTAGTTAATAATATTACAAAGTACAAAGTACAGTACACCATTGTGATATTCGGGGAAATGCTTAGGATCCACTTAGAATCCAGAAGAATAAAAAGACTGGGGAAAAAAAAAATTTGCAAATTATCACTTATCCACCCTCAAAAGATTGCACCTTTATGGAGTTTTCCTTTATTGACACAGAAAAGTCTTACCACCACCTGACATCCCTCCCTCCACCACCCCTTTGCAGACAAACATACAATCACACATAGAGAATAAAAAAGCAGTTACTCACATACCTCCTCTGCTGCCAGGTATGGGGCACACTGCACACAATGGAGCTGAACATCAGGGCAGTTACAAAGGAGAACAGGACCAGGTATATGAGCCCCTCCACTCCGTCATAGCAGAAACCAGTGAGAGACTGGACATAGTCCTAGCAGGGGAGAGAACACAAGCAACATCTCAGGTGTCAGAGAATGACAGATTTAAAGGATCTCTAAACCCAAGAATAAAAATGTAATATACTGCAGATGGTGTCTGCATTATTTTTTATTTTTCAGTCTAAGAACATTTTCAGAAAGTACAGAAAACACCTGTTGATCTTGCCAGAAATGTCCTCGTCACTTTCTGTAAATTGAAACCACAAATAATGTAATCTTCCTTCTGTAAACTACTAGTCCCCATGTAAAGGAGGGATGTAAAGAGGAAATGCTTGTCTGTAGTTCTGTTTAAGGGTGGCAACCATGGCTCCACCCATAGAAAAAGTGGAGAAGCGAGTGTAGCCGCCCTTGGACAGGAAGGGTATTATCTGCAGAATCACCAGGTGAAACTAAAGCGAAAAAAAGCCAAAACTAATGCTGCCACCTCAGCTAAGGACTGGTAAGCTGCAATATATTACATTTAAGTTTTTGGGTTTAGATAAGATTTAGGTTAGGTTTCAAGCACACCGTTCTCCTTTGGATGTCTTTTATCCTTATAGGAGAAAAGCAGCATAAAAAAAAAAAAAAAATGCAAAGATAAAAGCGTTTGGCGTTAATGCATTCTATTGGCCAGAACATTCATTTATTCTGGCCATTAGAATGCATTACTATAGGACCATGTCTAAATGCGCCTAGAGTTAACTGTATTGACACAGGCATTTAGAGGCCAAAAAAAAACTCAAACGCTTGTGAAAGTGTGCACGAGGCCCTAAAAGACAATGACTAACTGATTATTGCTGGTGCTGATCTGAATGATGAGCACGAGCAATAATCGGCTAGTTGGGTTGACAGGTGAGAAGTGAGGATAAATCTTGTATGGCTAGCCCCACTGATCACGGAAACCAAAAACGACTTGACCGCTGCTTACCAAGTGTAATCCTCGGCAGTCCACCAGAGCTGTGAGATGCTGCAGATTGATCTCTGTGGAATTCAGAACTCCTTGAATGTTGATAAGTTTATCCTGTAATCAATACAATCAACAGTCATTCATTTTCTCTTATCTTTTCAATTTTTTCAGATTGTGGGTAATAAGTCATCATTCATGATATATCAAGGGCATGGAAGGCAAGAAAGGGCGCAGAGAAGTAGCATCTCGCAACTTTAATAATAACTTACATTACAACAAAAAGATGAAAATAAAACCCAAAACCAGACACCAGGCTGGTTTTCTTGGTCATTTAGTGGGGATGTTTCCATCCTTCTTTATACATAGGCACAAAAACATTTATCCAAAAGGTCATAAATTTACAATATCTCAGAATTTTACGATTGCGGTTTACTGTCTGAGGTGCCCATGTGGCCTATTTATTAGGGACACACCATCCGGACCCTCAGAACTCTGTTTGGTCAATATCGGAGATTGATAGAGCAAGGGAATGTGAAACAGTGTTGCCAGGCAATCTGCCGAGACACACAACAAATCAACGTAGGCCCTAAAGGTCCGGATTATTGAGGCCATTTCTAGAAGCCTTTTGTGGAGAGGTCCCAAAAATTATGCAAAAAAGAGACTTTCTGGATTTTCAATCTGAACACGCTGTCTCCCTTCGGATTGAATGAGGAGATTGAAGTGAACACCATAATCTAATATTAGCTCTAATATATGGCAACACCTCCATATGTATATAAAAAGACAATGGGTTGATGATCTTTAGATTAATAAAATCATGATTAGGCTTTAGGATAATGAACTGCTATGAGAGCAGTGAATTTTGTTTTTATTATTTTTTTTTATCATTATTTTAATGGATATGTACGTTTAAAATTTTTTCACATTTTTTCTTTTAAACACTTTTTTTTAATGCGTTCTAAGAATTAATTTCACAGTAGGTTTATATTGAGTGTTGATTAAAGTCATATCCAGACTATATCTTATTCTACATGATTATTTTTTAATATGTATTAATATAACACATTGTCTAATGCAGTAATATAACACACTGTCTATGAACTTATTAGATTAGATTTGACTGCATTCTTTACTGAGCCAGTTTTGCCTTAATAATACCACTTTTTTGTATATTTTGATTGATAATCTGTGACATATGATGCTGTAGTATATATAACTGTACTGTATACAGCATGAGGTAGGCTTGACAAAGGGGTAGGTTCCCGGAAACTCGATGCCTGCTGTACCTCCACCCACTCCTGCTAGTCGACCTTAGTACCAAGCTCCCGTGCACAGCGGTTTCCTGAGTGTCGTGCTCTAATTTGCCTGTCCATTCATGCTCCACTCTCACAATGCATCCAGCGCTGTCATCTTTTAGTGTCTGTGTCTTTTGTTCTCCTGAATACCTTTCACCTCTTGTTGTAATGGAAGTGGACACTATCTTTCGATCTCAAAGTTGCAAGACACTGGCACTTCTATGTGCCCTTGGTTTTCTTCTATGTTGCCAGATGTCGTTTTATTCTCCCTGATCTTGTTGTGAGGTGCTGTGGGACATGTTAAAGTGGAATTCCCAGAATTTTCCTAACTATCTACTACTTATCTATTCTGAATGGCGCTCTAGTCCAGTCGGCACAGCTGGCAGCTTCAGGGGAGAGGAGGGATAGCAGACAACGTATGTCCATAGCAAGCCTATAGGTAATGTCACCGCACAGGCATTTCACCGTTGTTGGTAATCTTTCCTCTTCCCTGAAGCTGGCTGCAGGGGAGATCGTGAGACCAAACCGAAGTGCCCTAAGGATTGGCAAGTATAGGCATCTTCCTTTTACAGGGTAGTTCAAATAGGATTTAGAAGGGGATGGGAGCAGGTTTAAGCATCGTTAGGAAAAGCCTGGACTTCCATTTTAACTAATGATCTGGCAGATGACCAACATCCCTTCTTGATGACCATCTTGGTCCAAAAATTACTCCATTACGAAGTTCTGTGGTGAAACTACTGTTTTCTTACCATTGACTTAGGGTATTCTTTAACGGCTGAACGCAGGAGATCCAGTACCTCATCCTGCATCTCCACTAGGGCTTTGTGGCCACTTGACAATATCTGAAGGACAAAGAAAGGGAAAATATTGGTCATCACATCCTATCCATTGCAAGATGCTTTTGATACAAAAAAACGGATACAGAATTCAATGTCACTGTGCTTCTCTAGCCAAGGCAGGCAGATCAAGGCTGGTGGGAGAGGCGGGCAGGGTGCTGTACATAGTTTCCTGAAAACCTGACAGCACCCTGCCTCAGTACTCCTCTCAAGAGCCCCCAGCCCGATGTAAGCAGCAGAATGACTCTTAAAAAGGAGACATATGGATATCGAAATGCCTTGATAGGCGTTCCTATGCAGGCCGGATTTGCATGCAGACTGCCCTCGGTAGCACCCATATGTGAATCTGAGCTTCCATAACTGAAATCCAAAGAATAAAGGAGCCAGTAAATAAAGTGGAGATCTGAATTGCTGCAGGCTTCTAATGTGCATTGTGAGAAGCTCACAGTGTGCAGTAAAATCACAGTAAGCAATTTCAGTATAGCATGTATACCTGTGCGAGACTGAAGGGAAGGCTGAAGTTCGGGTTTAAGGACAATGCACCCGATGAATAGAAACAAGATTTGTTCCTTTTGGTTGTTTAAAAAGTCAGTCAGTATTTGGACTGAATCATCCATTGTTTTTACATAGATCAGAGTTTTCTTAGGGTCTATGTGTTTATTAAATTGTTTATTAGGGTCTTTAGTCACTAAACAAAGTGCAGGAACCATAGAATTCCTACTGTATCCAATGTGCACAAAACTAGAATTTTCATCCTTTTTTTTTTTTTTTTTTTAAATTGAAAACATCTTTCACCTTTCAGTAATTCTAGCATTGCGACACTTGTAACATAACAACTGACATTCTGATGTACACACCCCATAATGTTGCTCCTGTAGAGCAGCCTTTACGTAAATTACTGGCGACTTTAACTCTACAGTCATTTTGTTTGTCTGCTTAAAAGAGAAGTAGGCCCCCCCCCCCCCATTTATACTTACCTAAGTGGATGCAGCATCGCTCCGATGCTGCATCTGTCCCCCGTCGGTTCTAAGTGTGAGAACTCAGCGATCACATGACCGCTGACTGATGAGTTTTCACAGCCGCTCTGAGAGACTGTTTGGTCCCCCCCCCCCCCCCATCAGCACTCATTGGAGCCCTGGGCTGTGGAAGGAAAGGGGGGGGGGGTAGGGGCTTCTGGCTCAGGCTCTCAGCGGTTTACTGCCAGACTCTGGGGTGGATCCCTACTTTAAAGCGGAGCTCCAGGCTCCCCCCAAAAAATTAAAAAAGTCAGCAGCTGCAAATACTGTAGCTGCTGACTTTTAATTTAAAGACACTTACCTGTCCCAGGGATCCAGCGATGTCCTCTTCTTCAATCAGCTTCTAGTGCAGATGCCGGCATCTTACGTAAAGGGAAACCGGCAATGAAGCATTGCGGCTTCACAGCTGGTTAGCTATGCGCATGGGCGAAGCACGCTGCACTTTGCGAATGGTCCCACAGTTTTCTGGGACCTGTGAAGTGTCCCAGAAAGCTACAGGGGAAGGAGAAGGAGCTGAACTTCCGGCTCAGATTGCTGCGGCACATCGGACTGGAATTTGGAGCTGGTACCCGTTGAAATTCGGAAGCCTGGACTGGCACCTAGCTCAGCATGCCACTGAGAGATTGAGTCAGCCGCTCCCTCCCCCTTTACAGCCCGATTCTGAGCTCGAGTGGCACAGCAGACAGCCAAAGACTGACCATCACCAGCTCTGTGCTCACTGAAGATTCAGAACTGAGCAATCAGTAGTATCTGATTGCTCAGTTCTGAGTGTGGAACCGGCTGAGGACAGATGCAACATTGAACTTCCCTCCTAGATTGTAAGCTCCAAGGAGCAGAGCCCTCGAACCCCTAGTGTTTCGCACTGTATTGTTATTGCACAGTCTCATGTATTGTCCCCCATTATAATGTACAGCGCTGAGCGAACTGTTGGTGCTATATAAATACTGTATAATAATAATAATAACTGATGCTGCATACACCTAGGCGAGTTTAAATTTGTTTTTTTGAAATCCAAAACTTTTAATATGTAGTGCTCTGTTTTGTGGAAAGATGCTTACTTTTCAAGCTGCATTCAGTATTCCATTGCCCTCCCCTGCAGAAAGTTTGCATTTTCAAACATAAATGACAATAACAGTCCAAAAAAAAAACCCCACTAAATTGTCGAACGTACCTGCTGAAAGGGGTTTGCAGATCCGGGATTACAGGAGAGATAGTAGCTTAAAATATCTGCAAAGAAATAAAAACTGGTAAGAACTGGCATCTAAAACAACAAGAACTGAATTTACTACAAAATATTTTTGGGGAAAGCCCCCATAAGGAAAGAAGGTACTACTAAGTGACCCAAGTAGTTTAACTGAAATTATAGCTTTATTGAAACCACATAGTAATGAACCATAAAAAAATGCATATAGAAAAGTTAAACTATGTCTCCACCCGTCACCATTAAAAACATGACAACGTTGTCACTTTTTATTTTTAAATTGGGAACCCCCGGGTCAGATGTTAGAAGTACACAATGTCAAAATGATATATCACAAGACTCTAAACCTCCACTTAGCGGGGCGTTTAATCCATTCATTACCAACATCAAGCCATGTAGGGAGGCAGAGTCAGGATATAGCATGGGGGGGGTCATATCAATAGTATAAGAGCTGAATTTAGCATACCTGACTTTGAGAGCACTGTAACGTAAAACATAAGGAGAGAGTTTGAGCACTAAGGGAAATTAATAAAGATGGAAAAGCTTTCACGTGAAATGTATATTACGTGTTTACATTTACATAAGCTACAGCTGAAAGTGCAATTAGGCACAACAGGACCTGTAAATGGATGTTTGAATACATAAAAGTAGAACGTTCAATGACATAAAGAACATACAAAAAAAATACACAAATACACAACGATCCTTTTTCCTAAATGTTACTTGCTAAATGTGCTATGAAATGATGATGACTAAAGATTTTTTTATTGAAAGTTGTGGAAACGTCACAGGTCAGGTCATTCACATCCCCCTCTATTGGCATCCAGTCTTTGTCCCGATTCGGGTCCATTTTTTTAGGGGTCCTCCACACCATTTACCATGTTTTCCCCTTGGTCCATCAGCAGGGATTAATGGGGGTTTAGGTGGGCTGCAGGGTGGGACCGGCATGCAGTCATGCTGTCTGGACCGTTGAAGCGTGTTCCTCCACCCTACGGGGGTCTCCATCTTCAGTCCTGATGAGTGTGGTCAGCTGACCTCCTGGTCCCTGGGGGAGCGCACATTGCGCCCCCTCTTCCAGGTAGCAGGTGTAAGCACACGTTCCAGTGGACCGCGCACATGCCGGCGTGTGTTCCAGCGGATCACACACAGTTGAGAGAGATATTTGGCAGCCGCTCTTCTGGGTCCAGAGACAGGCGTGCACTGTAGCGTGTCATCCACACATGTGTATCAGAGGTTATATGGCATCAATACATCTACATCCATCAATACAGGAGATGAGTTAACATACACTAATGAGATTTGCTTTGATCTCCCCATATACATGTACTACATCACCGTTCTGATATCCAAATACCACGCAAAACGTACTCTCCGCTCCTCACAAGACCTCCTACTCTCTAGTTCCCTGGTCTCCTCCTCCCATGCCCATCTCCAGGACTTCTCCAGGGCTTCCCCCATCCTCTGGAACTCACTACCCCAATTTCCTCCCTGTACCACTCTCCCCTCCCTCCTAGATTGTAAGCTCCAAGGAGCAGGGCCCTCGAACCCCTCGTGTATTGTATTGTTACTGTACTGTCTCGTGTACCGTCTCCTATTATAATATACAGCGCTGAGCAAACTGTTGGCACTATATTAATACTGTATAATAATAATAAGTGTGTGTAACATTCCTCATTGCCTGCTAACCCAACATCCACATAATAAGTATATTAATAATTTTTGTGAGTCTCTCTCTCTGAGCACCTGTTGCAGGCATAGATGGATTGGGTGACATGGATTCATACCACACAATTGAACCCAATATATACAATATGATGTACTTTTTTTAGGCATGTATGTTTTTTTTTTTTACAGATCATTAAGTATTTACAACAATCTTACTAATGTTCACAGATCGGTTGTTTTTTAGTTTATTCTAGGTTATCTGGAAGGGCGGCACATGTGAGATTTGTCTCCGCACATAGGTGAGCCAGTGACGGCCCACATGCAGTATCTGAACTGGATACCAGAATAGATAAGAGAGGGTACAGGCATTGCGTTTGCTGGCTCTGAAGAAAGGGATAATGTCACCAGCACATGGGTGTGCTGCTGACATTCTCCCTCGCTGATTCTGTTCAGTTCCAGCCGACAGTTGCTGCAGCACCCACTTATACACACAGCCATTTTGGACGCAGGAACGTGTGCGTTGGGATTGTACACTTGCATTCTGGCTCTGAAGCAGAGACAAGTCCTGGAAATGCGTTAGCCTGTTGTAAGTCCAGGGCTCCTATTGCGGAGAGTCACTTAGTGTGGACTGGACAGTGCTGTTCTTTTATGACGTGCCTCTGACATCATTGTCATTTGTGAGTATATTACTGATCACCTTTTATCAGTAAATGTTGTTTATGGTAAGCTGGTGTGTCTTCGGTTTGTTTTCTTTGCATTCACAGCCAGTTGCATTACAGTTTGTGAGTCCCAACTTAATCAATTATGTCACTCACTCTAAAAGAGTGAGGAGAAACTAAGGGATTTATTTTTAAACTAGCACTGCTTAAAGTGCATTTTTTTTTTGTTTTGTTACATTTATCTAAGGATTGTGATAAAATATAATTGTTGCAAGAAAATATTCACAAGAAGAAAGCCTTCTTTGTCTTGGAAAAAAAAAATATATATATGTATATTGTATTATGTTATCTTCAGTAATGACAAAATTATCACTGAATAAACAGGCCCATAGCAGAAATGTAAAAATTGCTCTAGTCTATAAAGGGTGAACAGGTGTGAGAGTGGTTAAGGAGAAGGGGCACCATGTCCTTTAGCCCTCATGCACACTTGATGTTTTGACAAAGAGTGAGAAGGAGGAGAAACTAAGGGATTTATTGTTAAACTAACACTGCTCAAATTGCATTTTTTTTTTTTTTTTTTTTTTTTTTTTTTTTAGTTTTGTTACATTTATCTAAGGATTGTGATAAAAATATAAAAATTGTTGCAAGAAAATATTCACAAAAAGAAAGCCTTGTTTGTCTTAAAAAAAACAAACAAGATAACATAATACAATATACATATATTGTTTTTTGTTTTTTTTTCTTTTAAGTAATGACAAAATCATCGCTAAATAAACCGGCCCATAGCAGAAATGTAAAAAGTTGCTCTAGTCTATAAAACAGGTGTGAGTGGTTAAGGAGCAGGGCCACCATGTCCTTCAGTCCTCATGCACACTTGATGTTTTGAGAATGCCGGTAACAATAGCTGTGTAAAGTCACGTTAAAAACGTGAGTTTTTCAGCTTTTTTTTTTAGCGTTTTTGCCGCAATTAGCGGCGTTTTCCCACATTGCATTTTTTGGCATTTTTTTTTTTAACCAAAAAAAAAAAAAAAGTCCAAAAACGCCAGTTTGCCGCATTTTCAGCATTAGAGCGTTATTACAGCTAAAAAAAAAAACTCCTCTAGAAACCCACTAGTTTTGTTTCGTTTTTCTCCAGCCAAAAAAACGTGGATTACAGCCTATGTGTGCATGGACACATAGGATAACATGCTGGGGGTTTATTGACTGTAAAAAAAAATGTCAAACGGCAAAAACAGCTGCTGTAAAAACGTCAAGTGTGCATGAGGGCTAACTACAGATCACTCATTCAGCTGACAGCTGAAGTCTAAACAAAACAGTTGCCTGCAGGTATTGGTAATTGGTATCTCGGGGAGTACAAAAATCAAATCAAAAAAAAAAAAAAAAAAAGGATCAGTGCTCCTATCGGCTGTGAAAAAAAAATGGTGCTAACCCTTCCTACTGCTATCTGTATGCCTTTTGCTGACATACCTCCCCTACTTACTATACGGGTCACCAGAATACGAAGGAGAAAAGTCCCCACAGTAGAGAGTAAAGTAAAACCAAACAGAGGTTTTGACCTTTCCCTACTTTATTAAAATGTTTCTACTTTAAATGCCCATTTAAAATTAAAAAAAAAAAAAAAAAAAAAAAAAAGTTATGCACCCTCCAACTCGGGTGAATGTCTGGAAAATAACACAACATCAATAATTAAAGTCTGATTTGCAAAGCAGACAAGAAAAGTGCCAATTGTCAGAAAACGCTGAATAAATTGTGAGCGGTGAAGTAGTGCAAGATCCCGGGATAGACCAGATTTGATGCTTTCTGTTGTGAATTACAGCTGAGACGAGAGCCGGTAAACATCACCTGCCCCCGTCTAATTAAAGTCTAGCTTCACTCTGGCATGTTAATAAGCTAAACTTGTCAGACGGATCAGGATTTCATTTTACACCTCACACCGGCTATGAAGGGAAGAAATCTTCCGAAAGCCAGAAATGGAAATTTTTCTCAGAACTGACCTAAATACCAAAAAATAACTGTCTTTTCTCATAACCACCGGAGGTGTCAGAAAAGTAATTGCAAAAATCCGAATTTAGCAAGAAAGACTAAATATTTTCATGCGGTGCGGTAGGGGGGTTTACAATCCTTTTAGCTAGAGGCTCTGATACTTGATGCTGTTATGTACACTCAGTAGCTGGGAGACCATCACTGGGAGACAAGGGCATTTGTTCCTGGACACGAAACGCTATAAGCATCTGATGCACCGTCCAGCCATAGCAGTTTTCAGTCTCAAGGATCCATTCACACTAGTGTGACTTCAAAGTAGCTCATCGCATCAATGTAGTGCACTTTATGGCATATAATGGTAGATCACATAGTAGATCTTTTTAATGCACATCACCACTAATATGAGAAATATTGGGGAATTCAGGTAAATAAGGACCATTTATTTCTTCTTTCTGGCTTTACCTTTTTATTTATTTATTTCAGGTACAAGGTCAAGTTACGCAGCGCTTTACATATATATTGTACATTCACATCAGTCCCTAACCCTCAATGGGGCGCACAATCTAAGGCCCCTAACTTACATTCCTACATACACATATTAGGGTCAATTTAGACAGGATCCAATTCACCTATCAGCATGTCTTTGGAGTGTGGAAGGAAACTGGAGTACCTGGGAGAACATGCAACCTCCAGGCAGGTGGTACCGTGGTTGGGATTGG